TGGCGTTCCCATTTCCTGTGGATCTCTCTCGGGATGCAGGAGGGCACCCTTCTTCCGGCCGAAAACTTCTGGCGCAAGGTACAAACACGCATTCACTAACTGACTAACACAAACACGCCACAGTTTCAACCATCTACCCGTTTAAAGTCCGATGTGCGCGCTTGGGAGGACATTTAAAGTTTAAAGGGACTCGCCTGCTGTCTCACTTGAAGGGCAAACCAGCAAAGGAAAGGTTGAAGCGTGTGGTGGAGAGAATTGGCACATTCTGAATACTAAGTTTCATTTCGTTACATTCATTTTTCTTTTTCTCTTCATCCTTTTTATTTATTTTTCTTTTAGCTTCACAGTACTTTTGACCTTCTTTCCTTTATATCCTTCAACATTTTTGTCACCTTCCGCACGTAGTAACGTCTCTTTTTGTACCTGCTGTTTATTATGTGGGAAGGGAGATGTTAAACTGAAATTCTGTGAAGGATCACTGAGATAATACGTAAGACCGGTGAGTATAAAGAAACTCATAATAAAAAACGTCTCGGTAGCTCAGTCTATTGTTAACTAAATTTCAGTATTTTTTCTAAATTAATTCGATTGTACTGTCACATTTCCATGAAAATAAATTTACATTTTTTTTATCAACAACTAACAGTAGTAACTTCTGTATCCCGTTTCGAAAAAAATTAACAATAAATAATAAAACTAGCTCTCTACCTATTGAATATTAATTGTTTATCTTATGAATTATTTTGTGCCAAGCAGCATCAGCTAGTCACATAAATTATGTTTCATTTAAATAATGATTTTTATCTAATGATTACAAATTAAAATTCGTAATTGTTAATCATTGAAAAAAAATAAAATATTTATTTAAAAGTAAGAGAGGAAAAAAATATTGAAATTTATTTTTGCAATTAGCGTGCATGGATAATGTATAAGTTGCAATTAAAAGTATTGTTGCTACCGATATTTAATTTAGATTTGAGAATATATTTTGATAAAAAGTTGTATTATAAAATAATAATTATCGATGAAGCTAAATGATAAAGAGTGGGAAAAAGACAAAAAATAGTGTTCCTCAGTGCGTTATTTGAAAATTACTAGTGACGTGCACCTGGGGACCGTTGATAACGGCAACGAGAATCGAGGAGAATGGTTGTAATCGCTTTGACAGTATGACAATGCCGGGTACTCATTAGCAGCATGCACTTTACTCGAATTGCATCGCATGTGCACGATTAATCATACTGATTCGTTGTGCATACACACACCGCCGAGTATAACAATTACAATTTAGTCGGAAATTGATGTCCTCAGGCTTCTCATCTCTCTATTTCGTTTCCTCTTTTCTATCTTCTGTTACTGAGTATTATCATTTCATTTTCATAAAATTAATTTGTAATCGATGATGGTACACATCGACGTCAATAAATAATTCAAGGACTGTCGAGTCCAATAAAATCGCTTATTTATTTACACAGAATAATAAACGCGTTGCAATAATGTCGCATTTATTTTAAAAAATAAATAATGAAAATGTAAATCGAATGAATTCATTTTTAAAACAATACCTACTCTGTCATTTATTATAAATCAATGTATTGCATTCTGGAGTTGAATTATTTTTTTTTAGCAGAGAATTTTATTTTTTTTAATGATTAAAAAAATTGGCTGAATGATTGAAGAAAAATTTACTGATGTAATTAAGTTATTGAGGTGCTAATTATATGAAGGACGTTGTTTAATGATGGAAATGAATGTCGAATGGGTAAATTAATCACCTTTACATGTGCTCAACGTGTTATGTTATACTTGAATGTATCACACGAAACGTGACCCACTGTTTTTATGTGGAAAACACGTAATTTTGAATATGATATCGTGGTAACGTGATCGAACACATTTAATTTTCTGACATAAACTCATTTGAACTTCGGAACACGTTTCCTAAAAATACTTTTTTATCATTAAGTATTTGTAATACTACTAATAATCAACATTGTGAATTATTTCACTTGTGTAACTCCAATAAGTCATGATTCAGTTTCACTGTAAGATTTAATCAACTTCTTACTATATTAACAATATTGTTTAAAATTAATATACTAGAAGTAAAGTCTATTTCACAATTGTCAGAAATAGTTATGGGAAAATTATTGCAAAGTACATCGATAGAGATAGTTAAATTGGCCTTTACTCACCGTTGAATTTTTAGAAGAATCGATTTACCAAGAATGCGAAGGAAACACAAGGGAAAAAACTTCTCTATCATTTGTCATCGTCCAAAGAATGAAATCTCTTCTCTGTAATTAATAAATCATTCAATTTGCATTAATTTAATTTATAAATATTGTACGGATTTAATAAATTTAAGAATGAACTTCAAGTGTAATTAACTCAGCATTTATTGATAGAAACAATTTTATTATTGTGATAAAAGTAAATCGAAGTTGATGTAAGATTACACGAAATCATGTAATTGCGTTTAATCGAAATGATTTAACGATTTTTTCTTATTATATATTAATTGCTTATATTATTTGCTTATGAAATAATTAAAAATATTTTTAGAGGGATCAAAGTACACTTCTTTTAATTATTAATACCTTAAATGGTACTAATTCCTCAAAATATCATCATTGATCGTTTTTACGTCTTAAAAATACATTTTTACCCAATAGTAGTTGTAAGTATTCGAATAAACAGATATACCTTAGTTCTTGGTGTGAAAAGTAGATATAAAAATGCAATTAATATTAAATTAAAAGACCACAAAATCAAAATTGGTGTGAACAGTATTATTACGATGTGAATTGTTTCTTTATTGAACATAATGATACGTGAAAAGTTATCAAAAGTTAATTCGACAGCACGCAATTGAATACTTTGAAGTAAACACATTACAGGATATTTAGTATTCTGAAGTTGCATTAAACATCCGGTAACCGCTCCCATCAACTTCACAGAGACATTTTCTTCTACGCATAAGCTTTATTGTATTGTCATGGTCAGTTTGCAAACTCCTTAATAATCATGGTAATTTACGTTTTGTTTATTGTTGCAATTACTAATAATTAACGGACTAATCCTTTACAGCATCTATTGAAATTTTAAATATGTAATGAATCGAAGAATAATGAATCAGGTATCAATATATTCATTCACACTTCAGATTTATTGACACTGAAATGCTATAAATCACTCAGTCACTTCTGTTTAACTTGAAAATAATTTTCCATAAAATAGTGAGAAAGACATTGAAAAAAAAAATACGTTCTCCCTTCAGGAATGATGAGCAATGTAGTCAAATATATTTTTGGATGAATTTCGTAAAGGTGGATTTACGCGAGGCAATCGAAATTGTCACCAACGTCAGATCTGATTCTACGAAAACACTTTGGCACGAGTCACATTTCGTGTCCTCACTTTGATGAACTACTCTACATTAATTGTTATTGTAGAAACACCTCTACTGTGTTTGCAGAAAATAAATAAGTAAAATAAATTGTAACGATTTATTGAATTGAAGATTATTAATTATATTAGATGGAAAAAATGAAATAATTTTTTTTTTAAGTTATACGGTGTGTCTTTAAGAACTTTTCTACACTTATTTTATGTAACTTAATGTGGATGAAGTCATGCTTAATTGTATACGCGCGTGACTAATCAATTTAACGCTTAAGTAAAATGAATGTGATACCCGAAAATCACGCGATTTCACGTAATATATTTTATTTTATTTCATTATTTCGCATTAAAACGTTTAGGCAATTTTTTTTTCTTCATTTTTTTGTAATTTAAAATCTCATAAAATTGCAATGTTCAAGTTCCACTTGAGGTCTATTTGAAAATCGTGAAAGCGAATGTTTAGTCCAGTCGCGACCACTTGCAGTAAACTTAGGTTGCGTGTATACTGCGCGAACCGCATTTTTTACGAGGTAAGCATACCCACTTTTATTATCTAACACTTAGAGGAGAAAAGAAAACAAAATAAAAAAGAATAACAAAATATGAACAAGTATCATATAAAGTTTGAAAATGAACATTTTAATTGTTTGCTCTTGGAGATTTATGCCAGCTGGTCATTGACTTGAGAACATTTTTTAAAATCGTTGTAGTTAATAAACTACTTTATTACTAATTTTTTTATGACTCTATAAATTATTTATACGATAAATTATTAATTTAGTCATTAAAAAGAAATAATATAAAACAAAATATTAATAAAAAAATAACGATTAGCTGTAAAATTGTTTCTTTTTAAACAAGGAAAAGTTTCAATTTTCTAATCAGATAATTTAATAGAAATTTTCCCAACAATTTTTCATTATTATCAGTGTAGTTGACTTTAATGGGTTAATCGAAAAAAATGGTCAATTTCTGACTTTTTAACACATGTTGTAAACAGTTTGAAAAAATGAAATAAAAAAGTAAATGTTTTAAATTTTTTATCAACACAATAACCCGTTCATCTTAATTAATAATTACTTTAAAAAAACGTCATTAATTTTTAAATATAATATCGTCACAATTAAATTCTTGTTTTAAACTTAATATAATAAGCGCATGCAAGATATACATACAAGTATGAATTAAATTCAAAGGTCATTGACAAATTTCCCGAGGGCATTTTGCAAAGGCGTCGAGGTCTCCTTCAGATTCACGGCCTCGAGGCCACCCCCATAGATATGAAAAATACGCGATCGCATGTGTTTGACACCGGCTGCTGCCCTCAAGCGTCTCCCAGTTCGTCTGCCAGGAAGGTACGTTGCACGTACGAACACGCATCTCGGCTTGGAATAGCTAAGTAAAATAGCGGTGGTGGGAAAGCACAGAATAAAGTGGTGGTGGCTCGAGTGTGCGCGTGTGTGTGCGCGAGGGAGACCACGAGCTCTCAAGGATGAAGTGAGATGGTTGAAGCGAGCACGATGCTTATTGGCTAAGCAGAGTTGTGCTTGCGATCGTGTTGTAGTGGGGAAACATCGCACAGCTGATGCAGCACGAAAGTGTAGACCAGTATAGACAGCAGACTCTGTAGATTACGATTCAGTAGCACATGAGCGCTCGTTTAGCGAGCATCGTAGCGTCTCGCCAGCGGGCATAAAATGTCATCCCATCAATCGAGATCGAGTGTGAGAGAATAATTATTATTGACTGAATTAGTCGAATTATTTAATTGAGATTGTCTTTAGCCGTAAACGTTTTTTTTAAAAATAAATTAAATTTTTTTTTTAAATTTATTTTGGCAACAGTCGATGTCGCGTAATATACTAGTTTTTCGTATTAATGTTTAGTGCGAGAGGACATTTGGATTTTTCAAATTTTTGCATTTAATTTGTCCACGTGCAAAGTTAAGTCGAGTGACAACTTGAGAAAAAATCAAATAAAATAGTTGTCAAAGTTAAGAGAGACATAAGAGACTTTGCCAAAGAACTCTCGTTGCGGTTGTTAAACGATTTAGAGTATTTTACGTGGATTTTCGAGGGAGTGACCAACCCGCTGCGTATCGACGTGAAGATTTATTAAGTTCGACAGACATTTGGGAAGACAAGTTTTTTTTTCTACTTCGAGCAACCGTTGAATATAAAAGCGAGAGAGAATTTTAGTCTCGCTTTAGCTACGACTCAGTGAAGGTCTGCATTAGGACGATCACAACCGTCCTTACCTCGTGGAGCCGCAGGCGAGTTCTCCAATACAATTTTCAACTTAAACACCGTTCACCACTTATTTTTCTCGTCACGTTTTCGTCGAGATTTATTCACCGAGATCAGTGAGAGATTTTAAGTACGATTACTTTTTTTTCGATAGTGCGACTGTGAATTAAACAAAAGTGAAGTGATTGATATTGAATAGTATAAAATACAAGGCCCAAAAAATGGTGCCCCAACAGCAAGATAGTCCCACTAACTCGGGCATGCCACTTTTTGGATCTCTCATGGTGGATAAAAATTCTACTACTCCATACTCCGATGCAACTCAGGTAATTAAAAAAAAAAACCAATCACCTCCTATCTTTCCAAACTATTTTTCTAAATTCGTCATAATTTTATACATTTCCGTATCCCAAGATGTCGAATAAACATAAAGTAGAAATGGAACTGCAAGATCGGGCACATTGCCGAGTTTTGTTCCTCATATTTATCTCGTGTTTATATCATCTCTTCTCATTTCATTTCGTGGCACTCAAGGAATAGTTGTGAAAACAGTTAAAATACAAATTGTGTGAAGACGGAAGCTAGGATTTTCTTCAAAGTAAAATTCTCGAGTAATTATTCCAATTTTTCATATAAAACCAAGAAGGTATTCTTAACAGCTGTAAGATTCTTTTTCTTTATTTTTATAATTTTTTTCTCAGTGTTATGAGTACGTCACGGTTTAGTTTGTCCGTGTTAAAGATAAGTGGAGAGAGAGCAAAATGAAAAGAATTGGTATCATCATAATAATCTGAAAAATTTTAATTGTCGGTAATTATCTTCTAAAATATTTTTTTTTACAAACTTTTCAACTCTTCAACAATTACTGTCATTACTCTGATCACTTTTTATAATTATTTTAATCAATCAGAATACTAAAGAAAAAGTCGTCTAACAACATCAATCTCTGATAAAAAGTGAAAATTTTTTTATCTTAAAAAAATCCAAAACTTACTGTATTTCTTAAGTAGAAAAAATTAATTGCGTATGATTAAATTCAAGAGATCAATAAACTTACGGTCTATGAACTTAGCGAATTCTCTCTAATAATCAGTTATATTTTTCCTTACATCATATCGATTCGGAAAAATCGTCTTGACTGAGGTATATTTTGAATAAAAGATGTGTGTTGGTAAAGAAAAAGTGCAAAAATAGTCGATAGAAATATCGTGAAATGTTTGTGTGGTTGAAAAGCCTAAATGAAGAAAACCTCGGGCATTGCTCGATTGCAATAAAATAATATACAGTGTTTGTAACAAAAATATACGAAGCAGGGAGTGAACGGCTATACTGGCGATCCGTGGAATACCGTAGAGTTTGCAGGAAACGGGTTGTTCGTATCTCCGGCGGCGTCGTGACGCTTCGTTAATTCCCCTTTTGCGACAAAATAAATAGGAACGAAAAGGACGGGATGATTTCTCGTGAATTTCGACAGTATATAGTGTCGGTATATGATGTTTGAAAGGCCGTCTCTGTTAACAAGTAAATGCTCTGAGATATGCCAATGAGAGAATTATATAGAATTAACATAAAACATATCGAGTTACACTGCAATGATCATTGATAAGATAAGTAACTAATGATAGATGATAGACGTTAGCATTTTTATTATTTATTATCAACTCTTAATCACGTAATTTATTTTATTCTCAACTGTGAAATATAAGCGAGAATTCACTCTTGGCAATTTGCTTACATTTAGCCAAATGCTTCCGACTCTCGTTAAGAGAACTATGTTGTTCTGGTATTTAATCTATGAAAATTTGTTGGCTCACACCCACCTGGAGAGCATGCTGTCAAAAAACTATACAAACAGGAATCTTTCAGCTAATATTCATAATTCTGTCAGTCTATCATTATTCATTGCTCATACATTCTGTTAAAGTTTGAAGTGTCAAAATAATTTTCAATTTATGCATTTTCTAATTTTTTTTTTTTGCTTTCACTAAATGTCTAAAGTAGGATAATATTTTATTTATTTTCTACTTGTTATTAAATAAACTTTGATAAGAAAATCAATTGAATATAAGTCGTAGAGTTGAAGAATTTTTATTGACGGTATTTCTTTAAATTTCACGGAATTGCGTTTCCTCTTAATTTGAGTATAAACATTAGAAATTATTGCATCGCTTGTGTACATAGGAGTGATTTGTTTACTTTTGAAGTATTAGTCAAAAAAGTAGAGTAAAGTAAAAGTGAAAAAAAAATATAAACAGTGACAATTGCTGACAGGCAGTTAACCCTGAAATCTTTGGCCAAATCCGATGCTTATCGATTCCTTTTTGAACAGCGATGACATTACCAGATTTTTTTTCTTTCGCTCCATTTTTATTCTCTCATTCTTCAATGTTTCTTTTTCTTGCATACGTCGGCTTGTGTTTGTTTTTAATACAAGAAGTATTATATCAAAGTTCATCGCGACGAGGTACAGTCTATGAGAAAAAATATTAAAGTCGCTGATATAGTAAGTAAAATGTTGGACACTTTAGAGAGCAAAAGAAAAAGTAGAGAAATAAAATATTTAGAGAACGTAGCAAAAAGTTTCAGAACATTATAGTTTTTTTATTATGTTCATAGATTTGACTGTTATTTTAAAAAGTTGAAACTACAATATCAAATATATTTTTTGCTTCGGTTAGTATATATGTACGAGCATGTCATTATTGCGGTTTCTGCGAATGCAGTAAACTCACGTACGTAGTTTAGGATTAAAACTTCTTTCTTCACCAGCCTCTGTTTCCTTACTTTTTATCTTAAAACTTCACCGTTCTCTGACTTCAACCAAGTTACGTGTACCTTAGACATAAGGAATTTTTCCTGAAGACATGCCCCCTCACTTCAAGTCACGAATTTTAACGGCATAAATTGAATAAATGGAAACCTAAAAGTCTTCTTCTGTATTTCAACATGCAGATCCATGATTATTACAAGTCTGAAGATTTCTTTTCGCGGTCAACGTGTTTTTCTAGCTGATTTGTTTCTCAAAAAAGACCAAGACTGGGTGAGTAAGGAACAGATACGAAAGAGAGCGTGCCAGACAGACCAGCCAATTATCCTTCTGGATTTTAATGGTTGTGCCTCTAATTCTAGACTTTGCCACGGCCCCAGGTAGTCTCGGGTCATGTATTTTTTATCGCTCCAGGGAAACCAAAACCTCCTGCACCTCGTACGTTTCATTTATTTCTTTCTTTTCTCACTCGCTGCTACTCTTCTTCACTCACACGTTGCTTCACGTCCTTTCCCTGCGGCTGATTAAATCAATTTTTTCTTTCTTTCTTTCCTTTCATATAAACTCATCTAAATCCATGTATACCCATCTGACCCATTTATTTCGAAATTTCAACTAAATTCAGGTTATTCAGATTTTAACGGAAAATAAAACTCCAAGTATTGAGTTTTTGTGACAAAAATTATTTGTATATCTATTAAATTTACATTTGTTTCGACATTGGACATTTTGAATATTTATTTCAGTTCAAAGTTTTTTTTTTCTATGGATTTTAAATCTATTAGAAAAAATTTATTTCATTTTACTAATGTGATTAAGAAAATAAAAATGTTATAGTGTATAATAAATTTCTTAGAGCTACCAGTAAATGTAGTAGACAGTTTTAAATTATTTATATATACATCAATTTCTTCCAAATGGTTAGTAACTTTAAGAATTGACCCTAAAAATTGATGACGAAGCAATATTTCTAATGCATTTTCATGATCGATGTATCTGTTGAGCTTCTTTTTCATATTAACAATATTATTATTGAATCTAAAAAAAGGAAAAGTAAAATTATCTAATTACCCATTGAATTCTCGATTAAACCAAATAATTTATCACACTAACAACATTTGAAAATTTTCTTAAAAGTCATTTTTAAGTGTTTTCCATTAGTTCTATTTTTATATTCAATTTATGAGCTGATCGATCAGAAGTCAAACTTTTTTACAGCAATATAAAAATTAGTAATCTAAGGGTCATCATACTCTGACATAAATAATATGTACCATGTATCTTAGTATAGAAACTTCTAGTTAACTGTACCTCAAGCTTAATATCTCATACAGATCTATGATAGGGAAAACTTCTTTTTATGCATGTTAGTTTAGAATTTGTTTATTTTTAAATCTCTTGTTTAAACCTTTCGAAAGTAACCAACACCTTACCTACTTGTAAAGACTCACTTCTTGTAAGCTGCGATAATCTCGAGATCGTCTGCATCCGGTTTACCAACGCCTGCATCCCAACAAGATTTTCTCGTTTGCATCTCCTGGGATTATGCACAAGTTGCGCGCCTTATTTACGCGTTATTTTACTATGATAACTAAAGGATTAGGACAAGTAGACTTGCAAAAGTAACTTTAAAGAAGAGTATTTAAATTACAAATGATTTTTGCACATTTTCGACGTTATTTCAGCATTTAATAATTATTAACTGTTAACTAGTAATGATTTATAAATAAGTCAATTAACATAATCATCTAGAAAAGACATATTGAATAATAATTATTTAATATCAATTTTTTTATTTGATTTGTAAAAAAAAGAAATAATCGATGTATAATTTTGAGATTGATGGAACAGATGAATAATTTATGAAATTTATAATCACAAGATAAAGTAAGATTTATCATAAATGAAAAAATTGTTCATCAAAGTTGCGCATTAGATTAAAGCCTTCTACCTTCTTCTGTCCTCTACATAGGTCAGGACCTCGTGAATGACCGTTGAATGGTTGATTGCTGTAATTAGTACCCTTGAAAAAGTTCAGAGACCTTTTTCTTTCTGGTTGTCACTTATTTAGCCAGGCGATAAGCTTACGGCAATTACCAGCCGTCTAATGTTTCGAGATTAAATCAAGTTGTAGAGAAGTCGTAACATGACGTTTGCATTTTGACAAATAGACGTGTATCGTAGGCGATAGGAATGATTTATCGTCGTCAGATACATTTGGATCTTTATAGTAAGAAAAAAAAAGAAAAAAACCATTTAAACTCAATTTATCCTTCCTTCTATTCACTTTCATCAAGTTATTTAGTCACGAGATCCATCTAAATTACTGTTTTTGATATTCTTTCCTACATAACTTCAAGGCCAAACGCTTTTAACTTCCGTTAAAAAATATTAGATGTTAAAAATTATTTTTGTGATTAGTTGTATTATGGAATTCATCAAAAAATTCTACTCTAAACACTTATATCAATTTTAAATGGACTTCTGATGAATTTATAATGAATCAATGATTAACATTTGATGTATTATACGTTCAAGAGAAATTGTATAATCATTATA